ATTTTAAACCTTACTATGATATTGAGAAAGAATAGGCATTTCCCTGTGGTCATATTTCAAATTATATTTGTATGCACTACTGAAGTGAGCAAAGATTTAAATTCCATTTTTAAATCAAATCTACAGTTTTACTAATTGAAGTAGGGACAACATATATTTAATAATCTTTGCATACAATCCACATTAAATTGAGATATATGCATACATAATGAAGATCAGAAAGTGGCCCTTTGTTTAAAAAGCAGCTGTGACACCCAAGATGATGTCTCCTAATTAATATTCTTCCCACCTTTGGGCCAAAACATGTTAGGGTAGGCTCATGGAGAGGATCTGCACAGATACTGGTGAAAAATAGGAGATGGTGGAGAAGCATCATTCTCCCTTCTTCGAAGCCAGCAGAAGACCCTCTGCATGTTTGGAGGCATGAAAAAGAGAACCTTTCTGTTCACCAGGGTTTTGCCTGTACAAGATTCATAGATTCATAGATTCTAGGACTGGAAGGGACCTCGAGAGGTCATCGAGTCCAGTCCCCTGCCCGCATGGTAATGCTAACAGGGTAAACATTATGTTGCAAAGAATCCTCTTTTACGATGTGAATTCTCTACATGTGTGTTTTGAGCCAATTACAGGTGAGGCTTCCTATCAGGAAGAAATGGTGCCATGAGGGACAGCAGGCCTCCTTCTAATCCCCCACTCCTGGCAGATGTTTTGGGTAGCTTACATTTATGGGTGCTTGGGAGTGCTGTGCTACTCTCTCTGTGCTAACAGCCTGGAGATCACACCCCCAGCCCAATCTACCAAGGGTCAACTTTGCCCCAGGAGGTTACCAGCACAAGTTCCAAGTCATAACCTAGGATTTCCCAGTCCTACTGCAAATTTCCCCCACATAGGGGATAATTTAACCCATTTTAGATATATTATGAAGTATTAAATGCAAACTCTATGCATTTTTTAAAATAGAAAATAAAGCCAATTAAATAAAGCTGCAAAGACCATAAAATGCTGATTATAACACTATTTTCACAGAAAATCTCTTTAAATTAATGTTAATTGTCACTATTTAGACCCAGTCGTTTCCCCCTAAGCAAAACCATCTTTAATACAAAAGGGGGGTTGGTGTGAGTGGCAGGCTGAAGTAATAAGACTTTGTTTTGAAGATTTTAAAACAAAGCATTTACTACCATAAAGAAATAAGGGCAAACTCAAAGGTTAAGATATTAATGCAATGGTGTAAATATTTTTACATATGACTAAATGTTCAATTGCATTTCACAGAAAAGCTGAGTTTCTTATTTTTTAAAAATAGTGTACCTGACAGAATAAGACATTCCCCTCCTACAATACTTTAGTTGTGAAATAATTTTCTCATTAAATATTGCCATAAAAACATTAGAGAAATACACCAGACTGGGGTTCCCCCCAGAGAATATGTAAGTTATTCAGATTTTTCACTTCAGAAAATGCTTGCAGTGAATACCCAACTATTATTTCAAATAAACTCAGAAATTAGCATGTTTGGTAATAGAGGATTACTCAGACATTAAATAGACCAGTCAATCAGCAACCACATCTCCGAACATACTGCTTCCCCTCCAAATTATTATCTGAACACTTGACAAGATAGCCAATTCAAAACAAGGTAGATTAAAAAAATATTAGTGCAGTACAGTGAACAGTTAAGTAAGTGAACTCTGATTATAGAAAACCTCAAATGCAGTTTTAATTTATTGATTTGGAGGCACTTCGACCAAACTTTTTGTTAAAAAAAAAAAAAAAAATCAAAAAAAAAAAAATCAAGATGAGGTAATCCCCCCATCCACATCTAGACATATGTTTTTGGGTAAAAGAACAGATATTTAAATATCAATTAGTTTTAATTATTATTGCTAAAGATGATCTGCATGTAGTTTGTTGCTTCTTAAAAATTAAGTCTCATGAAAACAATGTTTATTCACAGGCAAGGAAAAATTAAGTGGACCAGTCTCAAATCCTTATTACACAGATGTCTTACTAAATGACTGGCAGAATAAAAGTGAAATGCTTATTTAAATCTGATAACATTTTAATGTAGGCTTTTGTATGTTAAGGCTGGATTTAGTTTAAATCAACAAAAGCCAGGAAATGCAGTTATGAAGGATTCCAAAATTTTAAACTGCCTTGCCTAAGATATCAGAGTTTTCAAACAATGGGTGATTTTACATGTGTTGTAATAACTAGGCACAAGTTAAATAATTTTCATGAAGTAGATATGCAGCTATCCATTTCAATTGACTTAGAAAAGCAAGAGAAGACTATAAAGAACGCATAGGTAAATTGACACAGTAATCTGCAACAGCTCTTTTAGAGAGTTATGATCTATTATATGAGCATGTGTTGTCAGCTCTCAAAACTATTATTTAGCCAACATGTCTGTATAGTTTTGTGTACACACCTAGAGTAGGAATAATAAAAATGGTCACAAAATGTTACACATATGTAGGTTTGTAAAAAAGTAAATCTTGTACATTTTTATCCCTTTCACCTTCAATTACTATTAGATAATTAAGACTAATTCAAAAAGTTATGTTTAAATGCCCACACCAATTCTTTTGAAGGGCCCCTCATTGCAGTCCTTATTCAGGCAAAACTCCCAATTGTAGTCAACAGGAGTTTTGCCTAAGTAAGGATTGCAGCAGTCAAACTTAAGTGTGAGAAAAAACACACCTTACATCCCTCTAGACAGTCACTATACTCTCTTTTGGGCTGTGAATTATATAGACCAAGTTTCAGTATGGAAAATTTCTAGAACAAATCAAGAGCTGAAAAGTGGATTTTATAATGAAAATTGACAACTTTATTTAAAGTAGCAGTCCTGTGTGATATTTGAGCTTGTAAGTTAGTAAGTCTTCTGAGTAAGTGTGTTGGTACATATTTTAATTCCTCATTTTGAGGCAACTCCCCCAAAATATTACTATATTTCAAAACTATCCATTTAAGGAAATCAAGTATTTTGAACAAATATTAAAAAACAAAGGATTGCAACTATTAAGGCCATGATCCTGCAAATTTTTACTCATGGCAGTCTTTAGCACTATTTGTGTGTCTAAGAGTTTGCAGTATTAGGCCCTAAATTTACAATAATACTTTAGATTCATGGTTAAAATCTAGACAGCATATTTTCCTTCAAAATATTACATTAGAAATACCCTCAACGTTAGTCAGACTGAGGAATACCTTATCAAATTTTCACCTTTTAAATTTGTAACAAGGGAATTTTAGATAGATTTGCCTACCGATATCATTCTGATTTTCATTAACAGGATTGTAATAGCTTTTGCACAGAAAAATATGAGCGCAAACAAAATTATTAAAATGAATGCAAAGTCCTTATATTCTTAGAGAACTGGAAACTCAGATTATTCATAACTGAACAGTACCCACTGAATCAAGTACAGAGGTTCTGAACAGCTTCTAAAGTTTAAAAACTTTGCATGTTATGCAAAGTATCCCAAACAGGAGTATTAATAATAATCCCAATAAAATAGTAATTTTGGGGGGTTTGTTTTATTTTAATAGAGATTTAAAAAAATTCACTACCTATTTACAATAAAATAAACAAGGTGGTGGGTTTATCAAAATATAAAGTTATGCTCTAGTCCAAATTTATTTACATTTTATATTTTGTGTGTATTCAAGGTTTTGGTTTTCAGATGTTAATTTTATGTAGAAGGCTTTCAGTACCTACAAAATGGTCATACTATATCAAATATTTTCCACACATTCTTTAAGAAAAAAATATTTTCTAAAATATTGTTACAATAAAAGGTGTATTATTGCTGACCACTTGCAATCCTTCAACCAGATTTGAAATTAGCTACCGAATTAAGGCTAGATACATTTTACACATCTATGGATTTGCTGGAACTTTTTCAGGTACAGTCAGCAATTGTATGGGCTTATTGCAGCTTTTAAAAGAAAAGTTTATATCTTACATTTTAGTACAATTATTTTCTGCAAAGATATATACATTTTAAAAGGCAGTAAGATTTGATTAAGGCTAAAAGCTCTATACCAGCTGAATACTCAAATTGCTAATGTCACACACAATATGTTCATAAAATTAGTTTTTGCCACAATGCATTTTATGACAGAGATAAAGTCTTTAAATTTCTAGTGCTCTGTTTAGTGTTTAAACATAAATTTGTTTGATCTTAGTGCAATTACTTTTTAAATTTCAGTTGTTTATTTTAATGGTTAGCTGAGATTATTCATATACAAGTAGAGAGTTCTTGATTATTTTGAGTGGATTTCTCAGTTTCAACCAAATTACCACTAAGTGCAAAGCAAGACTTGCAAGATGAGTACTGTATATTCTATGTTTATTATTGTTAAATAATTCATTGTTTTACTGTATAATACTTAAATATTTATTGATAGGCTCCAAGATAAATGAAAATTTCTGATAACTCTTTATATAGGTGGGGTTTGAAAACAAATTTTGCAAATTTTATATTGCTTTAATTGTGAAGTGGCTAGTTATTAATAACTTTAAAAAATAATTTTGTACAGTACATTTAAATGCACTCAGCTAGTTCTCCATTCTTCTTTCACACACACTATTGACAACAGAATAAAATTACTTAAAAATAACTATTGTATCATCCATTACTATTATTATTTTGCATTACCAGTAGTAATTCCCAATACAAGAATATGAGAACAACACTATATGGAGAATTTATGTAACTCCAATAAGCAAGACAGTTGCAAGCTCAGCTTTTTGTACATATTTTGGCCACTTAACACACTGACTGTCTTCAGAGGGAAATGGAGACTGTTTTTTTATTTAGTCTTAAAACTTAACAGAGCGAATGTGAAGAAGAATAACTTCAGCAAACAGAAAATCTTTAATCCAGTATAAAACAGTTTCACTATGCATAAACCAAAGAAGTCCTATTACTACATGCATTTTTAAAAATAAAGAGCATCTGAAATATGTGAAATGTTAATATGTTATATACCATTCTCATGCTCCATCAGCTTCCCAGAGAGAATTTTTCAATCACAGAAGTAAGTTGTTCTCCAGAATCAGCTCTCTATTGAAAGGTCAAAACCTGCAATAAAAATGTCATGTATTATAACATATTTCTGACACCCACAGTTTCATGGTTGATCCCCAAACATAGATGTAGGTCATCAAGTTGACCCTCACTTTGTCTATGTTAAGGAAAACCCTAATTTTAAAAACACACACACACAAAAAAACCCAAACTGACTTGATTAGAAACACCTGTGATATGCTTCTTTATTATCAGTAGCCTCCTGAAACAAATCAGATTAGTATGTTTCTGCTTTCATTCTCCCTATAATGTATTCTTGTGGGAAGTAAGGGGGAGAAAGAGTGGGAGGGGAGAAAAAGAATTAAACAGTTAACTATAAACATTTAACAATTAACATGTGCGCTGTGATACTTCCTGAAATCCGCTACTGACTTTTATCAAGAAGTGTTTAGCATGTAGTGCTTTCTTTAAAACAGTTTTTAGCCCACTTTTTTCAAGACATCAGCAGTACAATCAACATTTTTAACAAGGAGGAATTGTATAAACACAATAAATTACTCTATAGCATCTAATGGAATTGTATAGTATTGCAGTCACACACATTTTAAAGGGGAGGAGAGGGGGAAATGTGACCATGGAATTTATTGGATAAAAACAAGGCAAAAACCTGATAAAGATGGTCACTTCAAATATTTACAGGAAAAAACAGTGAATTAATATAGCCAAATGCTCAGATTTATTTAGCTTTTGTACTGTAGGTGCTATGACAAGAAACATCCTAACTATGTCTAATAAATAAGCAGCAGATGATTAGATCTGGTCACCTGTTTACAAATATTTTCAATATATTTGCGCTTTACTCCTTAACTGTATTTTCAAGTTTTATTAAAGACAATGATAGTATTTTGAATAAGGTTAACTTGCTTTTATTGTAAAAATGCATTTTTCTTTACCTTTATTCCTCTTCCCCAATACATCTTCACTACTCCCACCCTTTTAAGCACAAATAATTTGGAAAAAATATCCAGCCAAAAAAATATTTCTTTTGTTGATTTTTTTTCTAAAAAAAATTATAGTAATATAATCGTTTACTATATTAAATGTTAAGTCTGAAGCTAAACATATTCCTATTATCACAAAAGAAATTTAAAATCACGATCAAGATATTTTTCTAAGTCCAAATGTTAATCCAATTGGACATTTCTTACTAGATAAACAAATTAGTGGATTTTTGACTCAATTCTCAAAGTTAATAATAATCTATATTTACAATGGGTACACTTACCAGCCTTTAGAAACTAAATAGCTAAAAATATATATATTTTTGCCACTTTCAGTAGTGGTTTCCTTTAGACATTAATAAAGACCACAGAGAGTCATTGCTATTTTTTTCAGTTTCAAGTAAAAATGGAGATTATATCTTGATTTTGAATAAGTCTTCTTTGGAAATGCTTTAGTATTTAGTAAAAGCTATATATTTGTATTTATACACCATTTGTGTGTATACACAATAATAAATGGGGACATACTTGTACTCTAGTTATTCTGAACTGCTAAAATTTTAAAAACTGTTCAGAATTAAAGAAAGATTTTGAAGTCTATTATTACTTTCCACAAGTAGAAACTAGCTTTTAAAGGTACAACTACAGTGAACTCCAATTAGACAGAAATATTAGTCAATTAAAAATAGTCAAAGTTACAACATAACTGAATTAGAAGTGAAGTTACATTATCCACCTCCAATCTTCATGCAAGACTGATGGAAGTTGTCATACAAAAATAAATGAAGTTGAGAACTAAATTTTTTCTCAGAATTATAGACTCATTAAATCTCTAAGGTATAGACCTACCCAAATGCTTCTTTTAGCAGAATTAGACTTAAAAAAAAAAAAATTACAATAAAGGGTTAAACAAATCAATACAGGCATTGATTTAAGTTATATTAAACAAAGACAGAAGGTTTAAACTAAGCCAATTCTTACCATTTCAGAAATATAGTGTACCACACAAAATTATGAAAATATTTTCATGATAATATAGAGTTAAAAAGAAAAGAAGTTCAAGTTTGATAAGTACTAAGACAGTGACTACTCAGCAATTCTATAGAGCAAGTGCCAATAATTCACAAAATAAATAAAACTGCAAACTGACTTTTTCATTTAGGTTTAAATTTAGACAACTTTCATATCCCTGTTATTTGTCTCACCTTTCCCTCAATATTTGTAGATACTTACTATTATTTCTATCTTAAAAATGCATTACTAGCTGAGTCAAAAATTAAATAACTTACTTCTAAACTAAAGTAGTGTGTAAAGAGTCAAAGAAATGTAATATACTACGTATAAAAATAAAGTGATTTTGTACAGCTTGGTCCAAACAAAAAATTAATATTATTAATAGGAAAGGTAGTATTTTTTTCTGACCACTGGTTCTAGCGCAAGATTATTATTATTAGCTATTTAGAACTTGCAAATAGATGCATAGCGAATATATCCAAAATATATGTATATACCTTAAAAAAAGCGATTTTCTGTTTTTTAAAAATTTTACTATCAAATATTCATTTCAATTGGACAGAAAAGCCTGAATTTTATTCCCTATAGCTTCCACAGATAGCCAAAAAAGTCTAAGATGCTCTACCTTTGACAATTTGTGATGAAATGAGTAATGAATGTAATTACTGAAATGATTAGTAATTTGGAAAATCCCCCTGTATCTAAGAAAGCAAATACCTCCAGCATATGCAGAAACTATAATTTTAAGTTTCCCAGTTCCTTTTAAATATAGTTTAATATTTCCTATCTCAAATATTAAAAAATAGTAAGTTGTTACAAAAACAGACCGTTACATTACTATTCTGTACATAAAAATAGGAAGCGTGTGTATATATATATATAGATATATATATCTATATATATATACACAAAACACTCCAGATTTTTTTTTTGATACACCTGTTAGAACAGCCTTATGACATCCAATATGGGTAACATAAATTTTCCCTGAGGAGTGTACCTATAGGCAGGTAGCATGTATGCAGTTCAAGCAATATATAACTACAAATTCTAATGTATCCTAATACAGAAAGTAACAATTAACTTAAGGAAATTAAAACTATTAAGTTTAGAAATAAGTTTTCCTCTATAGCTTTGTATTTCACATGGAACAGTAAGAAGTCTCGATTCTATTAAGCTTAAAAAAAAAAAAAAAAAAACCCCAAAGAGGACAGATGGTATATTCTAACTTTAATATCTAGCTAACTAAAATATTCTATCTTAAAATGTTGCTACAATAGATTTCCAATACAATACAAAAATATCAGTAAAAGCTACCCACGTAATTCCAAATTACTAGGAAATAGTCCTTTTTATTTATTAAAAAAAGTTTCTTCAATCTCCAGTACATTTACACTTGCAAAAAACAAACAAACAAAAACACCCTGTAACTCTTGGGAAGTTTCAGTGCAACTTTAGCTTTTAACAGGACAACTGTAGCATATTTGAAAAGTTTTTCTGAGAGCCAAAATAACTGAACAGGCTTAATAGAAACAAATTTATGAAGAGAATACTGATTATGTTTCATGACAAAATTATAAGCAATAATCTGATCACAAATGCATAATTATAACTTTCATTTATGGGTCTAGTGTAAATACATGTTTATTAGAGCTACAAATATATTTAGAGGAAATATCAAAATTAATCTTTTCTAAGGCCAAGTAAACCTCAGTTAATGTTTGACATTTTAACTAAGGTGAAAAATGCAAGCAGTCCTATGAGGTTCAATTTAAACTAAGTGAATTTCTCAAATACATTAAATGAGTAAATCAAGTATCAGGAAACCTATATAAATTACATAAATGCGCACTGTATAATGATATCAGATTGCTTGCTGCTTTCTTTTTAGCCACACCCACTTTTATATCATTATAAAAAATGGAAATAGTAAAGTTCTGAAATAAAAATGGAGCTAAAAAGAAAACACTGTTTGATGTAGTTAAATATCTAATAAGTACAAATATTTTAATTATAGAAGACTATAACAAAGCATATGTATGCTATGTACTTGAATGTCAGAGAATGAAATAAAGCATACGCACCTGTACAATACTTACCTGTTCTGTTTTATAAATTAACTATGAGTCAGGACAGTTATTTCCTTGAAAGTGAAAGTCAGTGTTTATAAGTTTACTTCCATTGCTGAGTAGTGTAAATCTGTTCAAATACTGATATTTTAAAAAGTATACACTCAGCTACAAAGAAACAGTTTTGTGCACATTGCCGCATAAAGTATTAAAAATGTTTCTTAAAACAGTTAAGTAGTAATCATGTACCTCCAAAGAAATAAATGATAAAATATCATAAGGTATTATTAGCATCACAATTTAACAGATTAAACTTAAATTTCTAGCTATGAGGATTTAATGATAAACTAGAGACAAACTAAGAGTAACTGTAGCTGAATAGATAGACTGAATAGTCTGATTTGTATACTGGATTTAAAAACTGAGAAAACCCCAGGGTTCACAATAAGAATGTGTTCTTAAACTATTGTATTTCTGCCTTACACAGAAAATACCTTGAATCCAGCTAACATGCTAAGTTTTGTATTTCACTTTAAGGCTACAAGCCTTCAGCCATGTACATAGAAATCCTTTGTACAGCACTTCTGCACCCCAACTCTTCTGTACGTCCCTCCTCCTACGTTACTCTATTAACTCATTATTTTCGGTGCAGAGGGTGCTAAGTAAAAAGCACATACTCTTGGCATTAACCAGAGTGGATAGATGCGCGCGCGGGGGGTTGGGGGGGTGCAGAGCGAGAGAAGCGGAGAAATCCTATGACCCAGTCCAACCTTCAAGCCCCAGTAATGCGTTCATGCAGCCAATCAGGGGGACCAAATACTCGGTCCAGTATTTTCTGAAGTGGCACATAAATGAGGGCCCGATCCTGAATTCACTGCGCACCCAACGCTCCCAGGGATTGAACGGGGGTTCTCGGTGCTCAAGGAAAGTAGACTAGTGCCTTGAGATCTAGCAGGATTCGGGGAAATATTCATACGTCTTTCTGCATCTGAGAAAGGTTCTGGCGGCCGAAAGCAAATAGGGAAGTAGGCAGAGGAATAAAAGTAGCGCTAGAAATTGTATCTGGGAAGGAGCCAGATGGTCTGCCTGTTTCTGAATCTGCAGTGCTGTACGTTAGCTTATCTGCCCCCTGTACATTATTATCCCCCCCCTACTCCCACCAAGTAACTGCTGCAACAAAAAGATGTCTTTCTTGTGTGTGCGCAACTATGAAGCGTGAGCGCCCACGCCAAATCCAGTCCCGAGAGGGTTAAATAGCGTCGTGGAGGAAAAGGCACAGTGTCACATATTATGTGTATGCAACGGGGTAATCGCTCATCACATACACTGCGAGAGTGAGCCCATTACATATCACCATAAGCACAAATACTCATAACCTAGGGGAGACCGAGAACCGCTGCCCACCGAGAACTGACATAGAAACAGCCACCAAAAAAATAGCTAAGCCAATGACAAATAGCGACCCGGGTGACAGAGACGGAGAATTTAGTAGGCGGAGAAGAGATGGTGAATGGCCACTTCTAATCACAGTATTAGGCTACGCTGCCTATGGGAACGATATTTACTCATTTTGCGGGGATGGAGGAAGAGAAGGCGAAAAGCACCTACAAATAACTGGTACAATTCAAACGGCCCCAAATTACGTTTTCTCTTTGAGCTAGGGAAGGAAACTCGCGTGTTAATGTTAAAAACACTGGGTAATATACGACTAAAAGCGCGTCGGTCCTTCGTTATTAGCCAAAGGGACGGGGATGATAAATGCGATAGCGTGCGGCAGCACAACCGTCACCCAGGGCTCTGCTAAAGGCGGCTTCGAGATCGTGACACGGGAAATTACGATCTTAAAAAGTGCGAGGCTGAGAGAGCTCCGAGACAGAGGAGTCAACCTGCCTTCATCGAAAGGAGACGGGGGGGGGGGGGGAGGAGGGGCTATTCGGGGGGCCCTAATCCGGGTTACAAACCCTGGGGGGGCGGGAGGCTGAGAGAGGGGAGCCCTGCTGGCTGCTGCAGAACAGTGGAACCAGCAATCGCTGTATCCCGAGCACTCTCCGGTCTGCCCCGCAATGCTCACGGCCACGGGGAACACAGCCTGTCACGTCACGTCACGGCAGAGGGGCGCCCACAGGGGGCTGGGAAGGCGCCCTCCGCTCGGGGTGCTCCGGGTCCCCAACCTGCCTCTAACTTCCCTGCCCATCTCTGCTTGGGGCTGAGCCGCTCCGAAGGCGGGGGGAGGGGGGCACAAGCGCTATCGCAGACAGGGTCTCTGCCCGGGAGATGCTCCCTTCAGCCGCCCTGGGGCGGGGGTTACCTGAGAGAGGCGGGCGCTCCGGGCCCCGATCCTCCCAGGCTGGAGACTGACAGTGACAGATACGCTGAGGTGCCGCCGCTACCGCCGCCCTGCTCACCCCACTGCTGCCTTCGGGGCCGGGATCCCCACCGCTCGCTCCCCGACAGGGTTTCGGGTGGATTTTTCCCGGAGGCGGGACACGGGTCGACACCGTTAACCGGACAACACCCTCCCCCCGCGGCCGCTCCCTCCGGCTCTTACCGCCTGTGCAGGCGCCTCCTCGGGCCGCGGGTATTTTTGGCGGCGGTCTGCGCCCAGCCCAGCGGCCCCGCCAGCTCCGGCTCCCCCGCGGCAGCGATGCGATCGGGCATCACTCGAAAATGGCGCCGAAAGCGCAGGACTCTTCATTCAAATTCGTTAGAGCCAGCCCCGCTGCCCCGGGGCATGCCGGGAATGGGGGGGGGGGAGCGAGGGGGAGAGCCGCTCGCGCTGAGGCAGCGCTACGGACCCGGCGCTGCTGTCAATAGCACCCCTCCCCCTCCCCGCTGGCGCGCGCTCCACCCCCTCCCCGCTAGCGCGCGCTCCCGCACTAGCAACCCAACCGCCACTCATGGGGGGGAAGGGAGGGGGGAATGTCACCCAGAGCCCCAGACCCTGGGGAGAGAGACAGTCATTCACCATCAGCCCCATGGACTTGTCAAGGTAAAGGGGGGGTGAGAGGGGGGCGGGGGAGGGAGACTCAGAGAGAGGAGGGGGGGGGAGCAACATCGAGAAAGTTAAGCGCACCCGATAATAAACCAGTCCATCCCCAAGCCCATTGCCAGTGCAGCGCTCGCGTTACAGCCCGACCCCCCCCCCCCGAGCCAGGCCACGCAGAAGTTTGAGGCGCTCAGAGTAACTCGCCCCCATGGCACAGCTGTAGCCTGTGGGGCCCGATTCTGCCTTGGCCGCAGCAGCTCCCACAAGTCAGTTTACATCAGCGCTGTATTTGGCCCAATTCTGCCCTCAGACACAGCTAGGCAGCGCTGCCTGAAGTGGACTGCAGCTGTGTGGGCCCGTCTGAGGGCACCGTTGGGCCCAGAGTGTATAACTAGCCACTGGACAGACTGCCTACCTTCAATGTAGGCAAATTAAGATTTCCTTTGAAAGTGTTAGCTTTGGCATTTAACAAGGCTTAGCAATGTATATAGACTCTTTCATCATTGAGCCACTTCATAAACATTGACTAAACATGGTATCCCACCTGCTAGTTTGGTGTATCACTATCCCCATTTTACAGATGGGGAAACTGAGATGGAGGTTGTGACTTGCTCAGGGCTGTGGAGGAAGGTTAAGAAGTCAGGCCTGCTTGACTTTTAGTCCCCTGTTCAGACTACTAGACTACACTTGGCTTTTAACTGCTTAAGGACCCTCTCCTGTGAGGGACCCCTGTGCCTGCACAGAACCCATCCACTGCACTAGTGCAGAGTAGCTTGCAGGGTCAGGGGCCGGGCCTAAAATTATAACCTTAATGGAAAAGTATTGTAAGATATTTTATGTAACTTCTTTTCTTAAGAAAAAAGATTAAATAAGCAAGGCCCTGATCCTGCAAACACTTGTTTACATACCTAACTTTGGGGCAGATTTTCAAAGGCACAAATGGGAGTTAGGTGCCGTACTCCCATTGACTTTTATAATCTTTGAAAAATTTTGCCTTCATGTATGTGAGTGAGTCCATTAAGCTCAGCAAAACTATTCACAGGTATAAAGGTTTGTAAGCTGAGGGCCTAATATTTCTACTGATTTCACTGCACACTTCTAGATCTGTGTGGTCAAAACTATGCAGTTCTGGAACTTCACAGTGAAATGGCAGTGCAAAAATAACACAAATAATCACATAACTAACATTGCCATTATGTAGAGAGACCTGAAGAAGAGCTCTGTGTAAGCTCAAAAGCTTGTCTCTTTCACCAACAGAAGTTGGCCCAATAAAAGATATTACTACCTCACCTATGTTGTCTCTCTGATATCCTGGGACCAACATGACTACAACAACATTGCATACATTGATATTCTGTGTTTAATTTATTACATTGTCCTTCAAACTTAGTGGAAATGTTATATAGTACATTGCAAAAGTGATTTTTAAATTTTTATATCCTTTCCCTCTAATTATCTTTGAAACAAGTTCACAATAAGCACTAGCCACCTGAAAAACTTCAACTTGTAAAGTTTAGCTATTTTAAATTGTGTTCAAAAATAAATAATTAATCACTTTATAGCAGTAAAGATACATATATATTTTCACCCTTAATTTACTAAAAGATTAGTGAAAATCAAACTTTCAAAAAAAATGACCTTTGAACTGATAAAGTATCAAAAATTTCAGTTTCAATGAGAGCAGTGAAAGAAAAACTATAGTACTGTCTATACCATTTGTATGTGTTTAGTTTATACACAATGATTCATAGTCAAAACATTCTAGACATCATTTTTCTATTAATAACCATTTTTAAACTATAATGCAAAAACAGTATATAAGGAAAAGGTGTACCATGGAGATCTGACAGCCTACACAACAGGTTGTAATTGCTCTGGTCTGTAGTGTGAATTATGGTGTTGTCAATCATAACTTCATAGTTAAGGTTTCACCAAGATTGTAGCTAAAGTGAGATTTTGTATCCCCTAATGTCTAATCATTTCCCTCAGATTTACACTCCTTACTTAACATGCTTAGGCCCCTATCCTGTAAAGATTTTAGGCACATAGCTAACTTTATTCACTGTGAGTAGTCCCATTGACTTTAATAATCATATACTTTCTATATAAGGTTTTGCAAGATCAGGGCCATAGACTAACATCCTACTTTAATTTTTTAGATTATTTCATATAAAGGCAGAAACTTCCATTTGAAACTTTAAAAAAATAAACACTTCCTGAAATTTTGCTCTCTTTGGCTTTTTTTGGCTCTCTCTAACAAGCATTTAGATCTCCAAGACACTTAGAAATACAGTCATTCACTAGTATCTCACTAGATCTCAAATCTAAGCTAACTAGTGAAACTTACATTTAAAAAAAGTTATTCTCATTATTACTTATAAATGAACAGATCTGCACAAATAGAAACCAGTGGAAGATGTCTTGATTTCTTAACTACTTCCATTGATCTCAATGGGGTATCGAGTCAAATATTGTACAATTACAATTATTTAAATATCAAAATTGTTAACTACTTAACTGCTGATCACAGCATATAAGAAAGGAAAGGGATGATCATATTATGAAGATGTATGCAATTTACAGTGAGTGATGTCCATTCTGGTGTCACAATTGGGAGTCATTTGGGAGAGTATCACCACTCTCCTCGCCTCAATTTGACCAGTGAAGTTAAAGGGAAGAACAGAGCCTAGGGGGGTCTCTGAGCTGCCAAGGGACAGCCAATCCCCAAATCCTTACCTTGAGCAGGCCAGGTCCCCCCAGATCAGCAGGGGCTTGGTCTGCTATCGGTGATGAATGTCAGGCCAAGCAGCTTCCTCTCTGGCTATAATGGTTACCTTTGCTGGATGCTGTCTGCAGACTCAGATGCACATTATTGCATCAATTACCCTTGGTTCATGTTTTTAAGATTTTTTTCACAACCATGAAGGTTAGACACTTTTGTCTGTAATGAACATTGAGATTCTGTCATTATCACGTAATACTTAGAGCCAGGGCCTTAGACACTTGTCTATAGTTCCTGCATCTTAATAATCCAGTGGGTGTATCCAAATCCCACTAAGGGGTGCCAAGCCTGAGGAGCTCAGCAGAACACGTATGATCAGATTTGAACACCTGCACAATGTATTGTGAGTGGCATCTCATTTTGGTATCCCAAATGGGCAGAACTTGGGTTGTGGGTGGAGCTTGGGGGATTCCCCGCTGCCCAATTTGAGTCCTGCCTTGCCCAGCTTGTCTCTCTATCTCATCTACTCTTGATGTCAATCTGTGCCAAAAAATTAAAAATTCTGCAAAATTATGCAAGTTTTATTTGTCAATAAATAAATGCAGAGGCTCCAGCATGACAGTGGGGAGCACAGGCCATTGGCTGCACGAAAGTGGGAGATCACCCTGCAGCCCCCGCATACCTGGGACATGGACTCAGTGGTGAGGCTGCACCTGACCCTGACACAGCACAAGGCCTGGGCCTGCCCTAGAAACACCCTGGGCTCTGCCCCACTGCACCAGGCATACCAGGTGTGGGGAAGGCATGCTCAACCAGGCAGGATCCAAGTGTGGAGGAATCCAAGTGTGGGGAGAGAGGATTCTGTGTGGGACAATCTGGGTGCAGGCAGCTCAGTGGGGGGGTCTATGTGTGTGTGGGGGTCTGGATGCACAGAGGCTCGTTGGGGGGCGGGTTCCAGGTGCAGAGGCAATGGGACTCTGCAGGGGCTTCCAGGTGATGGTGGTTGGGGCTCAGCGGAGGGGTCTGGGTGCTGGGGGAGTGGGCTTGGTGGGGTGGGGGTCTGGGTGCAGCTAGTTGGGGGTCTGAATGTGGGGGCTCAGGGTGGGGCAGAGGGTGGGGCATCAGGGTGGGGGTTTGAGTGCAGGGAGCTCAGTGGGGAGGTGGTCTGGGTGCAGGGATGGGGGTCCGGAGGCAGGGGGTATGGGTGCAGGGGGGCTCCAGATGCAGGGGTTGAGGTTCAGTGGGGTGGGGTTTGGGTATGGAGGGCTAAGGGGGTTCTGAATGTACTGCGTGAGGCTTGGCAGGGGTCCTCTTACCACCCAGCCTCTACTTCCTACAATAGCCATCCAGTCTTCAGCTTACCTTGGCAAATTTAGGACCCATAAATCATCACAGTTGCAGCTTCACTTGTGATAGCAGTGATAGAGGCTGTAGTGTAGATAAGACTTTGTTATATCACATCTACCCTTGTTTACTGGTAGTGTTGCAATGTTGGTGAATTAAAGGTCCTAAATTCACCAGTGTAGACATAATCAATGGAAGTTCCCATGATAATACGCAATACACCAAGTAAAAAGTGTTTGCAGGACTGAGAAGTACATCTGTTTTGTAGACCTTCTTACAAATATTTTGTTTAAAAAATTGTAGCACATTTTTACCATGCCTCGCCTCTGAACTCTGAATAGCCAACCCTCAATTTCATTTTTTAGTCTTCCTACTGTCATGATTCTCTTAAGATAAGTACGAGCCATATGGGCAAGAAAGGCTGGGATAGTAGATAATGTTTTCACCCCTCAGCTCATAGAGAGCCGAGTATTTCATTCTAAACCCCTGACATTGATCCTGAAATAGCTACTGGGCCCCCAAAGAGTAATGAAGCACATCCTCCTTTGTTGGGGCTAAGTAAAGAAGTGAGATGTTACTGAGCTTTGATTCCACAGTA